AGAGGGTGGGGAAGTGGTCGATTTCCTGCTATGACCAGCAGAGATAACACACCGCATACCATCACAGGGTCAAGAGTCAACCTCTGCAAAACAGGGCACTGAAAGGTTAGTAAAATATTTCTTTCCACCATACATTTGTGTAGTTTTGTAAAGAAAAACTAATAAGAAATAGAAACCAGTTTTCAAAGTCATAGGTCAGGTATAGAGAGGGCTTATGAAGAGGCACTTTTGTTGGAACTGGCTCGCTGGGCTGCTTGACGCCGACCGTGCAGGTAAACATAAAGAGGGTTGATGAAGGCCAGGAGACTCAGAACGGTCAGACCGATGTTCACCTAGAGAAATCAATTATTACAGTTTAATCAACACTTGTTCTAAAACAGGGGCTTTTTAAAATGTCAAATTCTTTGAATAAACAGTTCTTTTGTTTTTTTTCTTGATGGTTGTGTGAACAGAACATAACCGTTTCAAACTTCTCAGAAAAATGACAAATATGCTGAATCTTTGTCTGCCAAACAAATGCCTTTCAGAGAGGATTTCAAAAGATAAACAGCGGTTTCTTATTCTGAAGCCGACTCCAACCTTTTTCTTCCCAAGAAATAGAAAAATGTGAGTTGTTTGTCAGACTTGAATAGGCTAATGTTAGAGAAACAAGTTCCAAGGAACGACAAAGCCATAGAAATAAATAATAATAAAAAACTAATCAATAAACCATAATCAATATTTCTGTGTACATATCTGCAATAATCACACACTATGAAAGCTAAAACATGATCTCCACTGGAAGGTTATAATACAGTTGGGTCATTAGCTCACATACTGTATATGTTTATTTTAATCTAAAGTTGTGGTCACATTTACTGTTGTTCTGTGAAATTTCACAGGAAAAATCCTGTCATTTAAATATGAATCAACATAATCAGTCATTTCACGTGAGAGCGAAAGATTTTGCAGTGCATATTTTGCAATGAGTTCAAGTTGGATTTTCTGAATTGAACGTGACTTCTACGTGAACTCATATATCGCTACACTATTGACAAGAGACAATGGATATTTTTTTGCCAGTGAAATTTTGCTAATGTGACCTCACCTTATCACAAAATGCACGTACGTGTGGGAAGGACAAACTAAAAGCATTCAGAAGCTTACATAAAAAGGGTCTCCACCCAGTGGTCCTTTAATGAGGGTGAAGCAGGGATACTGGAGCAGCGAGACCACAGCTGAGAGAGCCATCACCGTTCCATATAGCTTTCCGAAATGTACGGATGGAAACCTGAAAAATAAAAATAAAAACTACCTTCACAAACATATTCACAATTATACATAAACTACTAATACCTGTACTTGCAGATAATCTAATATTAATGAAATAAAGGGCCACTTAAGTGTACTTAGAGACTACACTGTCATGACTGGATTTTAACACCGTTAAATACACATTTTAAAAATGCACTTTAATAATGTCCAGTGAAATGTTTTACTTTAAAGTACATTTTAAATCATTTTAATAACATTTTGTCATGCTTAAAAGTACACTTTCATTTGTTGATGTGTTGACTAACATACTAATACACATGCAATGTACTTGATTATAATTTTTACCTGTAGTATGTTATTTGATATTACAGTTAAAGTGAATATATCTGAAATGCATTAAATTGCAATTTCATTGTTACTAATGTGAAATTACAAATATATTAGTATGTGACAAAGGTTTCAACAGAAATTACATGAATGTATTGTTTACTTTAATGACAATATAAGTAATTATGAAATGACATACTTAAAGTAGATATACTTAAAGTCCTACTTAAGTGTGTCAGTTCATATAACTGCATTTAATATACATTTAAACTAGAATACATTTTCATTTAATTGTAAATAACATGCAGTTAAGTGTCTGCACACATTAAATTCTGTTCACACTTATTTTAAGATATATTATTTTCGAACATTTTTTAAAAGTATGCTAAAGTGTATTTCTTTTTCACAAGAGTAATATACATCTAACTTGTTATTTACCCTAATGTAATTTCAAAATATGTATATTTTTTTTCCTTTCTTTCTTAAAACGGTTTTATTTTATTTCTTTAAGATATTTCCTTTTGGGATTTATCAACTAAATTAAGTCATACAGGTTTGTACAGGTTGTTTTCATATTTGGGTGGACTATCCCTTTAAATGTTCTTATAGGTCTATGATGACTCACGCCACACTGATGAAAGCAGCATTTCCTCCGTAGAGGAAGGATCTGTTGAGGACTTGCAGGATGAAGGTGAGGTACAGCAGAGGAAGGATGGGGGTGGCGGCACACACTGAAAACAGCACACACTGCAGCGCCGTCAGCGACAGAGACAATATGGCTGCCTTCAAGTCTGCCTCTTGTTCACTTTGTCCTGTGTAGCACAGTATTTTACAAATTAATTTACACTGTCAGAAAAATAAGTGTGATTTTTGTAGGCATATTATTAAACATTAAATAAACTGCTTTTATGTTATCATTGAACTAAAGCAATTTGTTGCAATAGTTTATTTATATGGTATATATGATCAACAATATGAATTAAATACTGATTTAAATTCTGTAAAATCATTCTTTTTTCTCTTAAATTCTTCACGGGGTGGGGAAAGGATTTTACTATTAATTAAATAATAATTAAATTTTTACTAGTTATTAAATAATATTTTTAACTCCGTAGTAAATGAATATAATGTTGTTATTTAATACATTTGAAATAGTTCTTCTGTAAATAAATTATTAAAACAAATCAAACTTACTAATGCCTCCCCAATCTAATTTGCGTAAAAGTTGTTGTGTGACAAATCTGCATTTTAGCAGATAATAGCCTATACAGTATATACTGTTTGTCTGTTGCATAAATGGATATTCAGCATTTTTTACAAAGTACACCAACTGCAGATAAATCTGGACCTAACCAATGATGATGAAAACGATGATAATGCTAATGCCATGCTTGATGACT